GTTTGCAAAGAGCTACCATCTGAACTACTTTTAAAAACTATGTGTGTGTTCACAACGAAAGGGGCTGGATTGTGAATTAACTGAAATGTCACAAAAATCAATATTGACTAGACTTTTGTTGCTTATGAGATAATATGTATTTAAAGCCTGGGTAAAGTTCAGGTTTATTTTGCTCATTGTTCTTAATAACCAACCTTTACCAGCATTCAGATTTCAACACTGAAAAATATTTGGATTTTTGGAGATCCGACATGAACTGACGACAGTTCACTGCTATGGATCTAGAGTTAAGACAAACAGTTGAAGAGTATAGGGCTTTGGATAACAAATCGGTTTGTTCATCTCTTCTGATGATAGTCCTACTACCCTTCCCCACTTCCAAGTTGAAGGTCTATGGCTTTTCCTACTTTCTCTTTTACCAGATCTCTGCTACTACTAGATGAGCAGCTATTCTCTTGACTTTCTAACCAGTGTTCTCATACAAGCTTCTAACAAGCAATTTTATCTGTAAGAATTGGTCTTTCTCTGATAGACAAGTCTCAGAATGGGGTTTGAAATATCACAGCAAAAATGCATCCTTCCGCTGTTCTAAAGTACTTTATCAAAGATTTTTCTGTTAGTGTTTCTAACATGCTGCCCATCAAACACAAAGCTACAACATCGGGGTGGTCTCTAAGTACCCTCTGCATGCCATATTTGAAGAAGTTAGAGCCTTTTCAATGCACATAAAGCAGTATGTAAATACAACAAAGTGCCTTGCAACAAGTATTACTTGGCACTGAAATTTGCATGCCTGAAAAATAGGAACCCTTGGGGTAAACAGGTTTCGCTACTGCACAACTTTATTTCCCACTTCACACTTTTGAATGTGTTTGAAGATCACAGATCACATGCTTCATTATTCAATTCTTATAGCATTTCTGTAAGAAATTAATAATCTAACAGTTTTTTGTCATTTCTACTAAAGAAAGAGAGGTACGCCTTCAAAAGCAGCTAAGTGGCTTGGGTTCCCAAATCCCAACTGGAAAAGTGACCAGGGACACAGATGAGTACAGCAAAACTGAGCCACCTCTCAAAGCACAGGTCCATCTACAGGCTAGTCTAGAGCATTTTGTTAATACAGAAACTCTAAAAACTAGAATAACATTAGTACATTATCGACCTGACCTAAGGTGCTATACCTCTAAGCAGAGATAAGTGGCAAGGGAAGAAGCACTGTGCTACTACAGCTGTGTAACACCTGGCTCCAGAACTAGTTCATTTGTTGCTGGCTCCTGGTCTTCTGCACTGTGACAACACATAGAGCTGAGCAACAAAGAAAAGGTCTCCAAAATCGGGTAGAGGTTCAATACTATTCTGCTGAGCAGGTGTCCAATATAGAGTATCTCAGTGGGTTTTTTCCAGTATACTGGTGCTATCAGTCATGAAATGATTTGTACAGATCAAGAGCTCCTCAGAGAGCAGGAAGAGTTTGATTTGCATTTTATTGTTTTCACTCAGTGGAGAAGACTGCAAAAACAATTACTGAAGTGACTTCAGTTGTTCATTGTGAGGGTCAGCAGAGATTTCAAATTTTTGTTTTCTTAAGTAAACAGAAACAGTGACATATTTGTAAATTGAGCCAGAAAGTTATCAAAGTGCTTCCTAAACTACTTTTTCAAGGCATTATTTTTTTCACCATAAGGCAGCTAGCTCTTTGCTCAGATAAGTGTTAATTAAAAAGAGAAAATACTGCATCTGCTGCATAAGGAATTAGGTAGTTCCTCAGAGTGCTTTGTCTCAGATAATGAGGACAGTAATATACATGTCAGTAACACTGTCAAGATGTCATGTCTTACTATCTGCAGTACTCATTTCCTTTTTGTCATCAGCTCTCCTTTGTATTCTGGTACAAAACCGTAGTATGACATTTTTGCATACTGTTAACACTTACCATGCTTCACCCTAGGAAATATCACTGTTCCGCAGTGATGATATTTTGCTGTGAAATATTTGCTTTATAACAGTGATTGTCTCCCTGACATGAAGGTAGAGAGTAATAAAAAGAGAAAGCAGGGATTGCTGAGTCTATTTTGCGATTTACTTGTTACTCTTGTAGCAATAAATTTCCCCAAACTCCATCCTGAGCACCCTCAGTTTCATCATTCATTGTTCTATTTTCATCCTCAAATCAGTCAGTTACGCACATCCAGACATTAAACATTTTCTAGAAATACTGTGGCAGGCATCCCTGAGAATTTTGTATCGTAGACAAAAGCAAATGCAGAAGGTTGTTAACATGAGTTACACTCAGAGATTGTATATATAACATGCAGGAACCTACCACTTCTGGCTAGGTGGAAATACTACTGTCTGAGTAGACTAAGTTCCACTTTTTCATAACATCATCCACAATATGATTGAGGCAAGAAATGAATCATGGTAAAACCCTGAGCCTGCAGTGGGCCTCGGTGGGACAACAGCTGCCAGTCTTTCCCCTGAGTGAGAGCAGGTGGTGACCTACATATGAATCATTTTTTGTTGCTTTGGCGTTCATCGAGTTCAGTTGTCACTACTCACAGCTCACATCTCAGCTGGGCAGCTAAGGCATGAACCTCCTGTGCTGCACCACCATGCTAGGGTGAACTCCTTTCCTCCCTCTGAGAGGAGACTGCCTCATCTGATGGGGAGGTGAGCAGAGGTGGGATAATCATTAATGAAGGCCTAAGGGTGGAATCTGGTGTAGTCGGACTAGAGGGTTTGGACGCAAAGCTAGTGAAATGTTAATTACAGTATCGGTCACTGCTTCATTATTATAACAGCGATGCCATAGGCCAGTCTGCAGTGCAGCTGGATTCACTGGAAAACCTCCAGAGCTATAGGTTCCAAGAAACCGTATACTTAGCTGTTCCTAAAATTAAATGCATGTGCAGATATATGGGTAGCAAACTATAAGAGGATAATACAGAAGGCAGTTTCCTTGTACAACTCTAGAGCTGATAAAAAAATTTAGCTAGTAATTTGAGTTATTTTACTCATCTCTCTATTAAATCAAGATTAGTTAGATTATATTTCTCAGAACTACCTCCCACCTGCTGTGAAGCAGAAAGTTTTACTATCTGTTATTAAGATTATACGTGATTGTTTTTTGATTACGGTTAGCAATGAGTTATTTTAGTGTGGTCTGTTTATCTTCAATTTAAATTTTGCTTTTTGCACACTTTCACTAAAAATTCTTGTACTTGCTAGCGACCGTAACTCTATAAGACACTTGTCTGTATAAAGTTTCTACATACAACTTCACCTGCTGGAAAGCTTGCTGAAAGAGAATATAGGAGGCATATAAATACAGTGAAGTGCAGTTAATTCAGTTTTCCAGTTGAGCGAATATTTATGGATTTTTTTTATTTTTTTTTTTATTTCAGGACTTCATATTGCTCTATCATTAAGTAGAGTTGTGTAAGAGAAAAATAATACAATAATATTGCGCATCCTTCTTCTAAAAAAAAAATAAATTTGGAGAGAAGCATCACTTTAAACTTGTTTTACATTCTCTACCGAACAGAAAGGTTATATCTGCATTTTTAAACCATCTACTAAAATAGACACGCTATACTGTTTTATGAATTAACAGGAAAAAGTGGTGAACAGATACAGATAAGCTTTTGCAGGTATCACAACACTGTGCAGAAGTAAGATTACTTAATTTTTAACTGTTTACTAAAATGGCTAGCATCTGCTGATAAACTCTGCAGACTTACGCAATACCCAGTCTAGCAACAGCTCATGTTATATTTAACAGACAAGATCAAATTGCTGCAGAGTAAATGTTAGCAAGACAACAGAACAGTTTATGAGGCAAATAGATGTGATGTCTGAAGCTGCTCCTTCTACTAATTTATACTGCTACTCAGTTCACAATATAATATGTTGGAGAATGAACACATACACAAGCACTCCGAGAGTGGGGTACCTATGGGTGGCTGGTGAGAAATTATGTTTAAAGCTTGGGAGCGAGAGATAAGTTCTCTCACATAACAGGAATCCAACATTAGAAAATAAATTCTCATTTCAGAAAAATTGAATATATAGCATGTACTGCCTCTCTTGACATACAGGAATTCATATTTTGGATTCAAGTGAAATGTGCTTTCAGGTAAAATTTGATGTCTTATATCATGTGGTATGACTGTTCTTATCTATTATATGCTACACAGCAAATGTGCATTTGCCAAACAACAATTAAAAGGCAGGAACAGTCACCGAAATACCATTTTCCAGTGCATGACCCAGCAGGTAAAAGTAAGGAACAAGAGGTAACGTGATAAAGCAGCGATACTCCATTTAGAGAGTTGCATAATTTTGCACATACAAATATCTTAATTCTAACATTACTTATAGAACAAATTCTGGCTGTATTATAGAAAAAAACCACAACACATTCTCAAGGCTTTTGCATGGCATTTGGAATATGACAAATGCTATAATTATTTTGCATTGACAGTTCAGCTTGATGGATTAATATTAAGAGATATTATAGAAACTATCCTCTGCTTTCCTGAAGCAGTTACTAAAGCTTGGATCCAAGTATGTATCATATGTGTTAAAATATAAGGCTGGAAAGACAGTATATCATTTTCAGCAAATTATAACGCTTCCTTTCTAAAGCTACAGAAGTGAAATATTTTTTAAAATTATTTTCCAATTATGGATATGAAATGAACAGTAATCAATCTAATGTCACCTCCCTAAAGCCACTAGACACTTTTACAGTCGCGTACCACGTGATGATTAAGTTATGAGTTAACATGTTCATTATGATACTCATCTTGTTAAACATTTTAAGGGTTCATAGCCATCTGTGGGTTTATTTATACTATATTGCTCCTTCTCACATAAATAAAATGAAAATAACCTGACTACTATGATATGAAGGAACACTGGAATACTTTGTATTTACTTATGGTAAACTAACAATAATGAATGAAGTACGGCATGAAACAAGTTCATATTGGACTTACCTGATCCACTAACTGGGAGTAGAGATCATAGCAATTGTCAAAAATATATTTATAAGTTGAGTCCAGGCAGGCTCTTACGCAGTCTTTCACCACAGTACTGGCTCGAGGTGGGCTCTGCAATTCAAGGACCTAATAAAATATTTCATAAATGGTAGAATGTCAGAATTAGATTGAACACAAAAAATTCCAAGTATTACAATGAATATAGTTCCATAATAGAAGATTAAAAATGTTGAAATATAACAATGATAAAAATATTTAAAATTGTGTTGACTTAGGGCGATCTTAGTTTAAAGATGCATTAAAACACGTACTATAAGCAAGTAGATTGGGTTACTAAGCTTTATTTGAAAGAAAGTATTCATATGATGAGAGAGGCATACATGCCCAAGGGTTTCCACCTTTAGTGGAAAACCTAAAGGTTTCCCCATTATTTAGGAATTAATTAAACCATATAATTATGTACTTTCCTCTGAATAAGAATATCAGCCAAATAGCTCTTCAGTTTTAAAAGCAAAGTGTTCAACTTTTTAGTGCACTTTAGGATACATTAACGTGAATTTCAACTTAATGGATTGTTTTAATTCTCTTTACATGGTGCCTAACACAGTGAAATCACATGCTATTGTGATAAACATTGCTTTGTGTTTCTGTATTTTTATCCAGTAATATCAATGTGCACCATTCCTTTCTAAAAATGTTTCAGAACTTGACCACCTAGGTATCAATATCTGGAGTGACTAAAGCAAGTAGAGTTATCAGACCTATTTTGCTGTTTGACATGTGATATTATGATACTACTAGGAAAATGTTATTCTAGATGACACATGTTCCTAAGGAGTTCAACTGACTTTGCTTTATGTGACTTGAATTTAAACTAATTAAAAAGGTAAATTTTTTGTTTCCTTCAGGAGATGTAAAAATAATTGTTAAAAAAGGAAAATATTGTTTATTTTTCAAAGATAATGGTTTTTACCACATTGTTAATACAAAGTATGAATAAATGACTTGACTTCAATGATCTTCAGTGAGAGATTTAATTTAAAACTGAAGGAGATGAATCAATTAAGAGTATTAAAGTACGATTTTCCTAGAAACTAAAAAACAACAGCATTTTAATTTTTTTTTTTTGAGCCATTGTGCAAATAAAGGATGATACCTTCATTCGAAAAAAAGTAATGCTGGTAAGCAGGTCCACAGTTGATTTCAGATCTTGGAGTCTTTCAGAATTGCTGGCAGGAAAATTATCCTGGTGAATCGGGAAGAGAGGAATCATGTGAAACTGGAGTTACAGGTAAGATGCTTGAACAGCTAGGAAAAAAACCCTCTACAACAACAAAGGAGTGTCTTGGAAGGATTAAAAATGTTCTTATGTGACCTGAATTGTGTCTGTGAGGAAGTCAGTGATGAGTATCCCTTTGACATGAATAGGAACACTTCTGATAATGCTCCTGTATTTGTAATACAAATGATTTAGAATATTGTGATATTTTCAAAACATTAATGAAGTTAAAAAATACTACAGAAAGACTGGAAAATATTGATAATGAAAATCACTTATGAGCTCTCCATGGTACATAAATCACTTGTAGGCATAAATTTGGTAGTAAGCTTAATGAAGAAACCATACATAAAATTTTTGCTATGATCTCTAGGTTAAGAGGAAAACTGATGGGAAGTAGTGTTATTTAAAAGGCTTCATATTGCATAAAACGTCAGCCAAATATCCTCATGCTCCAATATAATCTGGATAACATTCTTCAAAATTAAAAGATCCTAGGATGAACATATCTGTTGCATGAAGAATAAGGTCTTAAAAACTGAGTATGTGCAGCTTCTACTACATCTAATGCCTTGGGGTTCTTGTAAATATTCCCTTTTCTCCTTGAGTTTTAGAAGGCAGGCCACATACACAGAGAAATCTCTCAGTTGGAGGCTGCCATGCCTAGAAGGTGAAAGGAAGGCCATAGCTGAGGGAGCCCTAATCGCTTATGTGTTATCCAAAAGTTTTGTGATCCAGTGGAGTGGAAAAGGAGAGGGAGTTCAGAGCAGTACGATAACTGGCAGGCACTCAGTGCCTGCTTCTTTCCTGAAAGGCTGGGTTTTGAGCAGTAGAAAGAGCTTCCATGTTGCAGAAATGAAACTGGAATTCCTACCATGTAGAAAAATGAGGAGTCAAGTCTCTTTCAACATTCCTAGGATCTTAGCATGGAAGTTTTAGTAGCAGTAACTGCAATCTGCAGTACATGAGTCAGTGAAGGTAATTCCCAGATGCATTAACTTAATCAAATTTTGGATTAATTTAAGCAAAGTTGTTGAATCTTACTCTTTCTTGAATGTCTGCTTGTCCCTTGACCCATTCTTAACTTTTGGAAAAAAAAGAATTAACTTTTTTTTCAAACTGGAACAATATTATTGTTAAACTGCTTAAACTCTGTAAGTTTTTGTTCCAAAGCATTTAGGGTCTCATGTCAGCACCCAATATTTTCAGCTTTTATGCCAGAAGAAGGATTAATCTCTAAACTTCTTTAAGCAGATAAAGTGCACAAGGATATTTACACAAAAAAAAATTTGAGTTTTCCTCTAGATAGAATATGTTGCACATACCCTGTATTTAGACAAATCAATCCTCAGAGAATTGTGCAATTGATCCAGCAGTTTTATGAACTTTTCCCTCTGTGAAAATAAAACAAGAATATGTTGCATAAGAATTTGCAGGTTCCTGTAATTGGTGGGTTTTCAGAAAGCTACTTTCCATTATTAACTTATTTGAAAAATATACTGTTTTCTATTGTTTCAGATAAAAGCACTGGTCTGAGATACCTCTCTTTCAAGGCCAGGCAATGTATATTTCATCACTTTATTTTCCCTTTCTATATTATATTGAGATTTACCTGGTATGCATTCAATACTGTGCAGCTGTGCAATACACTAGCGAGGTGACATATTTCCTATGCAGCATTTCCTTTCTTAATGACTGATGCATTGCTAAATAATTCAAAATATCTAGAAATTGAAAAGCATTGCCTGATGTCACTGACCAAAAATGCAGTAACGGCATTGATTCAGTATAAATTCCAAAGTTTTAAGTTATGTTAGCAAGGCTTATTAAAATGGATAACCTCATTAAAACAGTTAAGATTGTTAAATTTTTTATATTTGCCTTGTGATTGCTTACACTCTTGAATGAAGCTCTTCCCCCTTTCCCTTTAATGTGTAAGAAACGATGCTCACTTAGAGCAGAATTTGGTGTAAAAGTATGATTGAAAATTATACTTCAGAAACAGTGGCTTTTGTAAGCTAAGTAATACTATGCAGTTATAGTTTTCCCTTTCAAATGTGGAGATGAACTTGTTATCTTGATAAATAAAGGTGCAGTGAAAACATTTTGCTGTGACATACCCAGCTGAGTTGTGCCATTCTCAAGTAATACTAGTGAGAGCTTCTAATTACCAGTCTTCACGTTAGAACATATTCCATAGTCCACTGCACAAAATTGTGCAGAAATCCTTGCCAGCTAATGTGAGAGCAGCAGGCTTGTGGAAGTAGCAAGATCTGATAGCTCTCAGAATGCATGTCTGTAGCCACACCATCCCTGAAATACGATTGGCACTAATATGAAAATAGAGTTGTCTGTGCACTGCCTCTCATCAGTGGAGCACTACCCTATACTGAAGGCCACTAATTTGACTCAGTTCCCTTAAGGGATCAATCAAAAGGGAACTTTTTTGTCGTGTTATAAATCTGTACTGAAATATTCAGTCAGCCAAATCCTCCCCAGCTGTAGCCTGAGGACTTGAATTTGAGATGTTCTTTTTGATGAATGATGTGCAGCTATCCACTAACAAATGCCTTTTGCCCCAAGAGAAAAAAATAATCTAATATTTTGCCTATAAGTCAATTGTTTGAAAACAGAGCTCCAAATCTCTAGTAGTGATGCTTACTACTGTCTTTCCATCCATCTGTTCAACTATGAATTGGATTGGAATTTGCGTCAAAGGTAAACTGGCATTAACATCAGAGAGGACTTAATCTCCGTCCAATCGGAGGATAAAAGTAGTTCTGATCATTCAAACAATAGAACAAAAAAACCCAGAAAATCCAGGAAAAACATTCTAAATTTCAAAAGCTGGATCAAACTCAAAAGTCTAATAGAGCTTGAACATTGAAAGAGTAGCCTTGTTTCAACAAAGATGTAGTCATTCCATAAATTGAATGCTTATAAAAGAAAACCTGAATAAAAACAGAGAAAGATTGTGCTATCATGATAATACAATAATTAAATCATAAATATTCTGATAATGCTTTTCATCTATAAAACTTTTTTACTTTATCATAATGGGGAAATGTTAATATTCATCTTTCAAAGCAAAACTTTAGCAGCAGAAGATAAAAGTTCCAGTTCAGGAACATGCTGTCTCCAAACTAAAGTCAGCCCTGGGTACATTTATGTGTGAGGAGCTCCACTAGACTTAACATTTAAAAGAAAAATGAATTGATGTTTAGAGTCAGCATTTCTCAAAAAAAAGTTACTGAACAGACCTAAAAAATAATGACTTAATGGATTTTTTCCTTTTCTTTTTTTTTTTTTTTTTTTTTTAAAAGACAGACTCATGACATCCCTTAAATTTGAAAATATATTAACGTTAGCAATACTTCAGGAGTATTTAGAACTAACTATTGACTATTTATGGCTGTAAGCCATAGCATCAGATCTTAAAAACATTCGGGATTCAGCAATAATAAGAAAAATCAGCCTGTGGTATTATTACTACACAAAATGAGTTTTACGGATAGAAGTTCTATCTCAAAGGCACTTGTGCATAAAATGCAAACTAGTATTTAGTTTCAACTCTGTATGAAAAAAATTATGCAGGAATCAAAATTACGCAAATCAAAATTTGTTTTAGCATCCAGAGCAAGTTTTTTTTACAAAACAAAACATTTAAACTTTTTTCCAGGCATGGATTGAATTACTTTGCTGAGCATAGTCTGATAATTGTGCTTCTTACTTTTGATGGGAAGACAAAAGCAAAACCAGAATTAAGTCTTTCTTGGTTTACTGGTCCAAACGTATAATTTCATAATGTTCTGTTGAAAATCCTGAAATTCATAATGTTTCTATTATTCTTAATACTAGAGAAGAGCATTAGTACCTCCAATGCTACTTCAAGTAGCGATAAATTTGTATTTAATAAATTTTAATTGTGCTTAATATTTTATTTCATGTCAATAAATGGTATTTTAGAAAACATCATCATATTTGCACAGCTAGTGTTAAATGAAAAATAGCTTTGATATTGGCCATAAAAATAACAGATATACAAAAAAGAAAAGGAGGAATGAATGCATTTTTCAGCATAAAATTGTGTTTATCTCTGACTATATCACGTGTAATAGTAGAAATATGAAAGAAACCTCTGAATTATAGCTCTCCCTTCCTGCTCCCATCTCCCCAGTGAAGGTAAGTGAATAAATTAGAATACAAAATGAACGTACTTTTATTTTTTTACCATATTGAAGGACTAGGAAGTCCACACTATGAGATACTTATCCACAAAATGACAGTTAGCAACAACTACAAAAAAAAATAAAAAAGCACTACCACATCCTGAGACACTGATACTTCTCCTAAAGTTTCTAATACCTAAATCCAGGACTTGGACAATGTGTCATTATTTCAGCGAAAATGAAAAGTCCATCATTACAGGCTCTTGTGAGAAGACTAGTATTTATGGCTGCATCCATTAGGTTCATGAGTTCACTGATGACACGTAGCCCAAGAAAGCAATTGGAACTGACATTTAGTCTAGTGCAATCAGTAGTTTGCAAGTCCCACTGCAATAAATACGGATTGCTGAAGATTTTAGTACTATGTATGTGTGCCAGTGCTTTCTACCCTATATACCTGACATATCACTATATAAGGAACTGACTAGTATCTTCACTAGCTTTTACAGTGATTGATTGTAAAGACTCAGGGTAAAATTTTCAAAAGCTAACAGCATCTCTTCTTTAAAATGACAAACTTTTTAAAAATGTTTGAATTTAGAAGTTAATGTGGTATCATATACCAGAAAAAAAAGATGAGGACTAGTATTCTATTAAAAAAGAAAGTCTACTTACCCCAAAGTTAGTAGCTGCGAACCGATCTGAGGCAGATACATTAGTTGCTGCTGTAGTATGAGCGTAGAAAGCATTTATATTGGCCAACAACGTACTCATAACTGCTGGAACACCAGGGCACATATATTTAGAAGATAGACAGGAAAAGTGCCTAGAATTCAAAGAAGCTGACAGTTATTAAAGACAGCAAAGATTCTCCTCTCACCACAATTTCTTTTCAGCTCTAATGATGTAACTTTCAAGCTACTTCATGGACAATTGTGCAGATACACAAGGAAAATCCAGACACATTTGACAGAATTACCACTTGTGGCACGCTGATATTTTCAAATTGAACACATCAGACTCACATTTGCTTCTTACTCTGTTAATCTTTAACTTAGCTTAAGTTCTGTCACTGCCCAAATAATCTTCCAACCACGTCATTCAATATTATTTGCATCATAAGTGAAAAGCCACAAGGTGTCTTCTTGTAGGTTCTTCTAATGATTTCACATTGAGCTACCCAAGGCCTGGACTGAGCTCTTATCTTGAAAGTAGATCCAAATTTTACTAATTTATTGTGAAGCAAATTTAAACCTATTGATGTAATTTATTTATGTAGTTATTATATTACTACACCATTCTACTTGTAATTTAATTAGTGAAATTAATGATAAAGCATCTATGTCAAGTGACAGGTTATATGAATTTTTGCTTCTCTCCATTTAATTAAAATCTGTAAAGTTCACAGAACCTATTAAGTTTATCACATGCAATAAGGGTCATGACTCTGGGTGCTGATAACTCAGGTAAGAAATCTGCAAGCCACCTGGCTTCCTTCTGCTTGCTAAAATAAATAAATCAGAGGGAACTTCCTTCCTTGTTTTTGTAGGTCTCTGAAAACAGCAGCCGATAGCATGAGTTATTAACAATTTCCTATAGGCACATGATGTCACAGCAAACATTGCTAACACATATTTTAGTCTAATATTGCATTGTTTAAGCTAGAGTCATACGCTTAAAACTAGGCATGCTTGCTTCAGCTTTGTTACTATGCAATTTCCTGACCAACATACAGTGCCTGTGGCTCTTCCAATCTTTCTGCTAGGATGAATCGATGAAGAAGAAAAGCTAATTAATGTGCTGTACTCAGTAAGCAAATGCTATCAATGAAAATTACTTTAATGGGTGATATGTGTGCTTTTTGCAATGCAGCCACATTAATTGAAGACTAGCAGGAGAAGAAGATGGCATAGTTAATGTCCATTAACCTGCTGGAACAAGAACTGTGTCGCTGATTTAGAAGCATTAGGTTCTACCTGTGGTGACACTTGCCGGTTAGAGGCAAAGATCTTAATAGAGCTTTTAATGCACTTGACTCCACTACACAGTAAATCCAGGATGCTGATGTTACGTATAATTTCAGTGTCTAGTCAAACACTGTTTCAATACGTGCTCTGCTTTTTGCCTTCTAAAGAGAAATAAATTATGTTGAAAGATGAATCAGAGGAAGACAATTTTTTTTTCTCGGTGGTAGAGAGGTGGCTTAATATATGTAGGTAAATAAACTTCCAGTATGATTCCTTCAAGACATTGAATTTACAGCATAGATCACCATTCATCACTGCAGTCATTGGAATAAAGGCCAGCTGGATCGCTGACCTGTTCTTCTGCTTTTGTTAATATGTTTTCTGTCATATCTATTTTATTTCCTATCCTCTCACACATACATGCTTTGACTTCTGGAAGTATACACATATAATTCATGTAGCGGACAGTATCTATTTGGCTGCTATCCATCATAAAAAAAAATAAAAAAATCTTCTGACCCATATAAGAATGGCTGTAATTGCCTTTCATTTCTTTTTCCCAATACAGACTCCGTGAGGAGTAGAGGAATGTAATTGTAAGAAAGAAGAGTGGATTATGGAATCTCTACAGTCAAGACTTTACAAAGAGCTGCCATTACTGCAACACAAGCAGGCTTTTTGTTGTATTTTGGTTTTGTGTCAATAATTGATTTTCTATTCCACATCTGGTAACTTAAAAGCAGATTTCCTTGCTTAGGAACTGGGCAGTTGGAATCCGCATCTTGAGAGTAAGACACCCCTTCTAAGTGGGCATGTAGGGAAGAACTGTCTATATTTGGTCTCATTAAAAATGTGGATGTCTGTCTCCAACAACAGGTGCAATCACACTTGAATTCTTTGTCTTCATAAGTTTAATAGCAGAGGTCTCACTAGGGACAATGACTAAGGCAAATGAGTAACCATCTATGTGATATCTTTTGGGTTGATATCCACATTTCAGTAAATTTTTGGTGGTACACAGGTAGTCTCCTGATATAGACTCAAACACTGACTCACATGTGACATGTTTTAAATCACAGAAAATGCAGAATTTTTTTGCTGATGCTGGTTGAGAGAGGAAAAGAGCTTGAGCTTTATGTTTTCAGGACTTTTAGTTGATCACCTGTTGGACTGATCTTCCATGAAGCAGTCAGGCACTGAAACAATAAACTGATCTAAATTCTTTATCTTTGCTGAGTTGCCACAATTGTGGTTGATGAGTATACTCAGTGTATTGGGAAAATCAACCCTACGCTTTTGAAATATTATTTCTGTGCTTTAAAGGAGTAAATATATATATTAATTTGAGAGTGAGAAACAAATCATCAGGGTCTGCTAAGAGGATCATAGATGACAAAGCCACCAGCACGAACCTGAAAAGATAGACTAGTGGGGTTGTTTATTACCGTAGCAGAACAGGATGCCGAATTTTTCTAGGAAGTAGTACATTAGGAAGGCTTAAATTAGATTTATGTTATGTTCAAAAATGCAGAATGGCATATGTTCCTACTCCAGCACATGGTGTCTACCTATACCTAAAAGGGGTTAAGACTTCCTATCATTAAGTGGCACTGAAACTTTATCTAATAGGTAATTTTAAAACAGCAAAGAAATATGAATTTTAAAAATCACATTCAGACAAAAGAACACCTCATTAGCAACACCCTAAAACTCACTTGAGTCTGATACAGTGCATAAAAAGCATGTGGATGCTCTCTGGGGTCTGGATCATGGGCTATGAAAGCATAATCAGTTTTGCATTTACAAATGCAAACATTTTAATTTACAATGTTATCGTGAGACATGCAATAGAAATATTCTGCAACTAGATTCTCGAGCAAAACATGCTTACACAATATTCCTTTGGGCCAAGTGATTATATTCAAATTCTCTCTCTGTTGCATAGTAGAAAATTGCTTTTCTATCAGTAGGAGCACACTATTACCAAATGGAACCTGATCATTCTATTTTCCAAAACAAGAAGCTCTACATTTTCTCCCAGCCATCAAAGTTGTTGCAGGAGAAAAAGGTGATCTCAAACACAAATAAAAACAACATGTAACAGTCCAAAAGAAAATTCTCCATGACAGATCTAGTGTCTTCACTACTCTTCTGCCCAAAGTCTGAATGTTCTTTCAGTAAAGACATGTCTGCTGATGAACCAGCAAAAAATATATGAATGTATATTCTTCTCCAAGTATTATTTGAGATTGCATTCGTTATTGATTTTATTCTTAACTTAAATAGGATGTGGCCTACCCCTCAAATAGGGATTGCTCATTATTAACATGCAACATTTTAAAATGTAAATGGACATGGGTATGGCAACAATGAGGTTTTAGATGTAAATGTGTAAATTATCTGTGATTACCAATATCTAATTCACTTTCTTACTACACCTGCCTTCAAATACCTGGTTTGCAGTCATCAACAGCAAGGAAATTTGGTGGAAAAGGTATAGAAGGAAGCAAGAACAAAAAGAGGACAAGCCAGCATAGGTCATTTAACTTAAAATGGCTTGGTATAGAATTTTTGAGTAAGGATTCCTGAAAAATGTGTTGCAGGACTTGGCCAGCTCCTTGGTAGATGTTCAGACTCAATTTACTTGCTTTTCATGAATATCTATATGTTATGTTATTTACTGATATAAAATAAAACATCTTCTTTATATGAAAGTATATCTCATCCACTTCTAAAACTGTTAATGAAAAAAGCTTTTTAAATATTCACATGTCAATTATATTGCTATTTTTGCAGTACTGAATTTTGCTACATTTGAATTTCTAAAATCAGTTTCAAACTTTCTCTGGAAAATTTCAGAGTACTGGCATTCATCAAGAGACAAAGGCAAAAAAACTTCAAAATAATTTTTCAGTTGAGGTTGCTCATCAAAAATACAATCATGTTGTATTGTGATAACCAACTACTGGGGCTATAGTTAAGAGGAAACACTAATGCTAAATCTGTCCTGCTTTTTTTTCCTAAGGAAGACAGTAATAACAGCCCTCCCTTGGCATTAATAGCTCTTGAGAATTCATCTCATAAAACCTTGAATTCATTTTGATACATACAGCAGGAACAACTCTATCATTTTAGAGATTAACATTTTGGTAAAAATGCCATACCATTTTAAATCAAATTATTAACTAGCCTAGTACTATATTTTTATAAGTAACGTAACAATCAAGTTGTAAAGACATACATGGCTAAAGAGAATCTAAATGTGAAAACCCAAATATTCATGAAACTCAATGCACGAGTTCCTCCATATGTAGTATAGATATACAATACCACAGGGGAACTGTCAAGCTTGCTTAATTCTTGTGTGCAATGTTGTTTAAGGTCCTTGGAGGAAGAGCATTAAAAACATACTACAAATAAATCCTCTACCTTTCTATTAGACATACATTACAATAAGTCACAATGAGCTACATAAAGTGAAAGACACGTTCATTACTATAGCAGATGGTGTCTTTACATCCTGCGATAAAAAGAAAACGTCACATGTTTATATGCCTTCATACTTATTACAAGATATTTTTTGGGGGGATATACTGTAAAGAGATGGAGGAAATGAGATACATGTTCTGATTAAAAATTCCATAATATCAGTTTTCTATAGGAAATTTTTTCTAGTTTTATTCTTTAGAGGACTCATTTGGAGTCCTCTGTTTTCCTATGGCTGCAGTAGAAGGAGAATATAGTCCTTTTCACTAGACAAAGTAAGAATATATGATGCAGCTCCTGTATCCCCAGGCCTCTAAGCTCAGTGGTGCTGTGTTCTGATCAGACAACTACTTTAGTATGGAAAGTGTTGTAACAGGTTCTAATATAACTAAAAATGCTTTGCATGAATTATTTACATGCACTGTGAAAGTTTACTATAGCCATTGCTGGTGTTCTCTGTTGATTTCTGTACTCTTGGAAAGGAGACCTTGTGAAACCTGTTCTACCACCCCTATCCCATCTGAAACAGTGGAAGTCTTTCTGATCCTTGCAACATATCAGTAGCATAAAGATTAAGAAATGCATTAGCAGCAATACTAGTAACAGTTTATAAAACGCTTGTATATATCGTAATTCCATTGAAGATGAGAAGCAGTTCAATGAAAATCAGATGGACAAAAATGCTAAGAATTTTAAATCAGGAATGAGAGTGAAATGGAGAAGGAAGGCTTGGAACTCATCACTTCCCTCAGACGCATTCTTGACAGTAGAGTAGAAAACCAGGCATAATAATACTTACGTCATAGCTTGATAAATATATTCAATTCCATAGCGCATTGCAAATTCATCTACAATTTCTTGTGCAGCATCATCAAAGTACACCTTCCAGGCTTCATCACCTTTCACTTCAGGAATTTTTACAACACCATTAGATTTAACTTCCGTCAAGTAATGGAATAGATTCTAAATGTAAGAAATGTTTCAAATAGGAATTTTTGGCTTTTAAGTGGCATTCTGAAAGTATATCCTATATAATAGTCATCCATATGTTCATTGTTAGGGTTTTTTTGGTTTGGTTTTTTTATATTTATTTTATTTTTCTGAAGACTGGCACTAACTAGTCATCATTTGATAAACAAAAAAAACCCAAGACTAAGCACATTTTTTCTAATGGAACTCTGGTAGTGTAGGCTTGTGATTCAGTGCATTGATCTGTCTCCTTGACATAAGGTCACATCAGGTAACTGGCATAGTTAACAAAATCATGCAGAAACTTCTTCTTCTTTGTCGTATGCCTTTGCTAATGAATGAAATTGTGAAGTTGTAATGCTCACTAAGTAGTGCTTCAACTTTAATTGGATCTGTGACCAATACATTTCAAACTCGTTACTTTAAACCTGTAAGTTACAGGAGACCTACCAGAAGTATTGCAGAAACCCCTCAAGTAGAGAAAGGCATGCAATAAAGTTTAGGTTTAGCAACCTTAGGACAACATGAAGTATTTAATTTGATGTTAATTTCATAGAACGCTGCTCAGATTACCTAGCTGCATATATATCCACAAACTCAGCAGCAGATTTGATTTCCTATTGTCAGTGACCAAAAAAAACCCCACCAAAACTTTGAAATAATGTTTTGCTTATTAGCCCATAACTGTCTTGTGGACTATCTTAAAGCAATATAATTTTGCCATTTACTGCACAGGTCAAAACATTTACAATATCAGGTCAAAAATATCTATAAGCACAAATGCCCTGAGCATTCAGTTTTACAAGTGATCAACAACGGGATTTTGTGGATACATACTAGTGCTGAACTTTCAGCCATATATTATCTATCAGCTTTCAGAAAATACTTGCATTTTTAGAATAGAACTTCAATGGGGATCACTGTTTGAGGGAAGAGGAATCAAATACAAAGAAAATCTTTTGAAAGACACACTGGTTTATCAGTGACTTTAATTTTTTTTTTTTTTTTTTTAACGTTGACAAAAGCAATGTAGATGATGGGAGAATCAAATTTTGTATTGTCTGTGCTTCTCCTGCTTTTTCTTGCTCTCTCCAAAATATAAATTAATGTAGCAGGAAAGAAGTCTTTTACAATTAATAGCCATATTTCTGTAATATACAGAAATGGCTGTATCTTCATGATATTAGTAAGCATGTGTGGAGTATCAAAATGCTAAAAGAAAATATGGGAGGAGGAGAATTTAGCTGACTCCACCTCTTCTTTTTTCTAACTCCTACTGGCAGGAATGATCTGCTGGTGTTACGTTGTCCCGCCTTTGACTCTGAACCTGATATGCCATCAGCAATACAAAGTGGGAATCCAAAATAAACTTGTCCTGAGGTGTAGCAGCAGTTGTTATATAGCTTTTTTTCCTTATCCATGCAACAACTGAATAGTAATTTCTGTATAGTGTGCTTTCTTTAACTTTTCCGACATACCTCATGTAGACAGGTGTACTGCACATGGTAGGGAGCAACTTTCTCCTCTCCTTTTATTTCAACATTGATTTTCAATCTAATGGCACCAGAGACAGCTGATTTATCTGTTCGCTTTTCTGAAGAGCAGAAAAATAATATATTAGTAACTATCAAGAATACATATATGTCATGTGTAAAGCTTTCATAAATTGTTCTAGCTTCATAAGAATGTTTTTTAAAGCCAGAAAGTCCTGCTGTTGTGAACAAGAGGATTTTTTTAATACGTCATATATAGTTCAGGCCACGAAGCAGAATATCGAACTATAAAGTAAAGAATCTTTCTTATTTTATCTGCCAAATTCAAACCAGGCTGCACAGTGCTTTATTTAACACTTTTCCCTTTTCAACTGAAATTATTTCCATTTTCAATCTGGTGTCTATCTGTAATATTTATCTGTACTAATGATTATTATTTTCATCATTGATACTTTTATTATGAAGACTTTAGCAACAACCTGAACTACTGTGTCTGAGAGAAACTAAAAATGTTCTTAGCAAAACTCAATTACAGAGCTAAGCTGAATCTTACAGAAAAAATGGTATGAAGAACTTTTCACACTATCTGTCCTAGTCTGTTTAGTTGCTGTCACTCATTGTGGAGGTTACTGATCATCTTTGACTCCAATTTTCACTTTGTCCAATTAACTCTAGCAGTATAACTGAGTCAATAGGTATTACAATTTTCATGATTCTTTCACAAAGTGCTGTGATGGGAGTGGTGATGAACAATACAATTAATAAGAATTGATATTCCACAAATCCAATTGTTTTGAGTATTTCACTCCTCTTTCCTCTGTATGATGTGACATATTGCATTTGTGTCAATGTGTATCACAATAAAATACACCATTCTTTTTAGAATATTAGAATTATCACAAGCCATTTACCAATATTTCTTTTTAGATGATTATTGAAAGGTTTTCATTCTAGATTCTTCCTTTCACAGAGCACATAGATTTTCTATGTTATTATTAAACTGCTTCCAGCCAAATCAGATCAGCAAGACGTGTTTTAAAAATCCATTAATTTATATTAGTATTTACATCATTTAAGTCACTGAAATTTTTGAAGGAATAAAATTCATAATTCATAATGACCCAATTATCTTACCTTTAAAAAAATTTCATTATAAATAGGAAATAAAGCAAGGCTTTCTTTTCTCTGTCAGTAAGAAATCAAATAGTTCCCTGACACATATATATACATATTTCACTAGGAAAGGAAACACTAGACAGGGTAACAAGGACTGTTGATTAGGAAACAAATGCCCTACAGTATTTTTCTTTGATATTGTTGTGATTAGTCTGCATTCTGTAATTGTCATAACTGTGGATCAAAACAAAGAAAGTATCTTTCATTTTCAAAGTGTAATATTTAAGATTTTAAATGCTTAGATTCTACCTAAAGTTATTTTAAAAAAAAATCAGTAAGTGTCATACCTAAATTATACCACACATCCATTTCTCCGCTCAGTGTTCTTACTTCAATGATTGTTTGCCCGAGGAAGTCATCTGATTCCTTTTTGAAATGTTGTTTTACTCTAGATTTGATGTCATCATCTTCATCCCATACTCTCACTTTTATTCTATCTGTAGAGTTATGGCATTCACTATAACAACAATAATAATAAAATACAAAATGTGATACATAAGCGACATACATTTGTACTGCCGTTCAATTCATTGTCCTCGATTTCCGTACAGTTGCTTAACTGCATAAAGTGACAGAATACAAATAGCGTGCAACATTCAGTGGAATTTGCCAGGGACAAAATTACAATTACTATATAAAAGAAAGTAAAGAGATTAACTTGACTGAAAAAATATATATATGGATTGTATTTAGGAATGTCATGAATGCATCAAAAGTATTAACTAATTTACAATGTGTACTTCTTGATGCTATTATTTAACAAATATCTTAGGAAAGATACAGTTAGATCAGGCTTATTCATTCAGAAATGCTATGTAGCACATATAGTAGACCACAAAAGTAGCAGCCTAGAATGTTATAATACAATAAGTGAGAAAATCTTAAAGAATATTTCCAGTACGTGGCAGGAAGTTTTTGAAAAAAACCCAACAAGTATGCACAAATATCACAGCAAGACAAGACAGGCAATCAGAAAAACCTAGGGAAATAAGTAGCTGCTTTCTTTAAAAGATATATTACTTTTCTCCAAGACCTCCATTCCATGGTAAGGAGGAGTATAGACAGACTACCATATACTAAAAAATTCCTTGCAAATTTAAGCTGCTTACTAACCCCTCATGAGTGGATTTGAGAAACTACCGGATGTATGAAAGAGTGAGGTGGCTTAACTTGCAATCTGCAGAGTTCCCAGTGGATAAAATTTTTTACTCCCAGTTCCATCCTGCATATATCTGCACAGAAATGGAAAAGGGACACTAGTGCTGCTTATTCCTATAAGCCACAATGAGGACTCTTTACTGTTGGCCAGCATTGGCTTTTGATGAGTTCATTGGAATATCCTAAGATTGACTGCAGAAGTCTGTGGTAGTGAAAAACTTTCTCATGACATTTAATAGCTAGTACAGACCTGGCGCCATTATAAGCCGTGTCATACTCATGCATCTGTACTAACTGGGTTTTTTTAATATCCATTCAGTAATACTACAAAAATATTTTAAATATTACAAATTTTTAGTTATTTTTAAATATACCTTTAAAGTGTAGCAGCAAATTTTCATCTTCAGTAAGGTCTTTGATTAGATTAAGAGTTCTTACTTGAAATCTATTCTAAGCACTATCACTGCTCAGTGATCTGTCTCAGCATTTCCAGCATTAAAACAGTAATACTATAACTTATCTCCCAAGTGGCACCCCTCAGGGGTGTTCTAAGAATTAATTAGTGGTGGTAATGGGCTTTGGAAGTATAAAGCGCTTTAAATGGTATTATTACTGCCAAGGCCAATCAGTCACTAAAAATGGCACGCACAGCTTTTACTCTGCCTCACTGTGACAACATTCAGTATCACAGAAATGCTTCTGTCTGTATTCCAAAGTTTAACATTGCAGATATCTCTGGTAATTAAAAACCACATTGTTCTGTGATTAGCAAAACTAATGAAGCCTGGTTTCTTTTTGTCTTATGACTGACATCTAACAAACTGCAATCACCTATTGAATCTTCTCCCATAATTGGGATTTTCATAAATTACTCCTTCATATGGACTCCCTGGTGTCTATTATGGGGTGAGCTCATACTGAGAACACTGTTAGGATCTCATCTCTGTCTGACCACCTATTTTCAGAAAACACGATGCACGTAGTATTAGGCAATCTGTGAAATTTTTCTAACCACAAAATTCAAAAGCTACTGGCAAGGACGTATAAAATACAGGAAGACATCAATGGATCAAATAAACATCTTTGCCTTAAGAAACTAGGCTAAACCCAGAAACCATTTAATTTTCCTAAAATATAGCCCAAATTATTGCTTAACATAACTGGAGTCCTGAATTGCATTTAGCTATGCATCCAACAGAAATATTAAACAGAGGATTTCTACAGTGGCATAGGGACGTCCATCAGTGCAGTGGCATTTATGTGACCCTCATCACCATATCTGTGCTATCAGTAGAAATCTTGTTCCTGCTTTGCTTCTCAGGGAGATGCTGCATATAAAAAGTCATTAAATGGTACTTCAGTACAAACACCATATTTTTATTCTCCTGAGACAACACCAATTTCCCTCTGATGTACACTTAGCTGATTAAGGAATATTTATTCAGATGGTCGGGATGACTGCAGTCTTCCATAATATCCTCATTTGTGTCTCCTACATTTTTTTCTCCTTTAATCTTAGGTTAGTGAAACATGGTGAGACCTATCACAACCAATGGTTTTACTGACATGTTCATCTTTGTGTCAAACTTTAGCTCTGCTACATGTTTAACATTCCTGTGCAAGACCCCAAAACTAGCTTAGATTTGTGATGCAAGAACAGAAGGGTGGATGAACACATATTTCTGCTGGCCTGCCCTGTGGCAGCGCGACTGCAGGGAGATTGACTATTAGAATCACAGAGCTGTCTCTACATGATTCTACCCACCTGCCCAGCCTCTCAGAAACAGCAGTGTGTAATGAGATGCACATTTCTATTCTGCTTTAGTCACTGGTAACATCTGTGCAGAAGCTCTGTGGGTTTGCAAAAGGCATGGGGTGGGATTCCTACTTCTGTTTACTCTATCCAGGGAAATCAGCCCAGGGAATTCAAGGTAAAGACAACATATGCTATTTTCAGTGTTGTTGTTCTAGCCACTCCGCTTTGTATGCTCAGTAAGTGTTTGCTAAGGTGTGATACAGGAAGGTGAAAGGGAATTGTTCTTTAGCACACAGAGAACGAAGATGCTGATGCTTTTGAAAGCTGGGAAAGCTGCAGTATATTCAGAGAAGCTAGATAGAAGAGATTGATAAATTATTAAAACTATCTGGTGACACTACATTACTTCTGCATTTACAGAATGTCGCACAGACATGAAATAATCCTCACAGCATTCCTGCTTACTCTAATGTCTAGAGTAATAAAAAATGTAATAATAAACTATCTTTACTATAGTAGTCCCATGTCAATTTAATATTAGGTGACTGGCATGACCTGATTATACACCTCATCTAAGAGATCTGCATCCAGTGTTAAAATAACAACTGATACTGTGTTACTTTCAGTAAAGAAAGAAATGCAAATGAATGAAGAAGGTGGTAAAGAATGCATGGAGACTAATTTTACACTCTGTCAAAATGAAATACATTCACCCTAATGGCATTCTTTTCTTGCAGTCTTCAGTAAAAATTCTTACATCCACTAACAAATTTGCTACTCTGAATATAGTTAGTCTAGATGGAGAGGGTTTGTTGTTTTTCCCCTACTTTAGAAAAATGTTATTTCCATAACTTAAATAATTTTTTCTGATAAAATAGACTTCGTGAAATACTATAAGCAATCAGCAGGCAAATTAGGCTGTCAGAGATGTAGAAAATGAATTTGACTGACAAGTCTTTGCAACATCTTTGCCTGTTCACTTCCAGTTTTGCACATTTAGTAGCTTACCATTGTTTTTCTAAATCAACTTTTAACCAATAATTTTGCAAATGAGTAGTCTAAAAATCAAACATACGCTACTTTTAACTAGAGCTCCAAAGAAGTGGAGAAAAATCTTTCCTGTCACAATAAGACAGACAAATCTGTTTAGAACTGGTCTTGTATTTCCTGAGCACTCAGCAGACTAGTTCAAGAGTAGACAGCTAGTGGTAGAAAAGCTTTGGAGAACTTGTACTCTAACAGAAAAAAACCCTGTTCAATGCCACAGATAATGACCAAGTTCTTTTTAAAAAAATATCCTCAAAAGTGTAAGAACAAAGACATGTAAAAAAGGGAAAAATATACTAATCTTACTCCAATTTTACAGCTGGGATAATGATTCACAGACTGATTAAATCACTCTACATGTATCTTCCTTACTTCTCTCTCATAGTGCCCATTCCTCCTTTTCAAAATGTATTTAGCCTTTTTTTTTCTCCTGAAGCACTAGCATGCATTTTTATTCCCAGCAGTGGTTAAAAAAAAAAAACAAAAAAACAAACCCAACAACAAAGTGTGAGATAAGTTTCTTTTATAAACATTTTCTCTGCTCTCCAATGAGGATTTCCAAGCTCCAACTACTATTCACCTACTTAACTTTCCAGAAATGTCAAATCCAGACCAACATGACTCACCAAAGTTCCAGAGAAGTCACTCTGGTTGTTGATGGACAAACCTGAAGATTGTTTAATTTTTTTTCAATAGGCTACTTCAGCTTAAGACTGCCAGCCTGCCTCTGTAAGAGCACTTGCTAAAGAATCACTGTGGTCTACTGTAATTGAAGTACATAACCTTTGTCTTTTGCTGTATTTTGTTTTCAGTTGCTTTCTCTGGTAGCTTCTATTTTTGTTTAGCCTGTTACAAAAGTACCTGAATTCTTTTTGGACATACACTCATTAAGGCATGTAATGAAAACAGGATACATACCACTTTGTGATATTAACCATAATTACACTTATTATTCATATCATTGTTTCAGATTAATATTGCTTTAGTTGTAGACCATATATGTTAGATGTCTTCCACAAATGAAAGGAATACATTTTTGAATATAATATTTAGTTCTTTTAAGTGCTATATTCACTCAGTGAGTCAACACTGACTTAATTGGAAAACAGATAAAAATCAAAGTGCCACCTGGCTACATGAACTATGTATGCAAAAAAGTAGTTCAAAATGTAGCACAGATTAAAAAAAACACATAGCAAATGACCGATCTTTTTTTTTTTTAAACCCCATACAAACAAGCATAAGGAATATATTTTCTATATCAGGTAATGCACATAAAACAATCCAAGAGTTGAACCTTACTAAATTCTTAATGTTATTCCCTTATACTAAAATATCTTGGATGCCATATGGTCTAGGTGGGGAATGGAAAGTGATAAGAGATTTTGTTCTAGAAGTATAAAGAAACCATGCAGTCATGGAAGATAGTAGTAGAATGAAGTTCAGGAAGCCATTTATTGCTATTATTACCCTCATGTTTATTATTACCATTACTG